GCGACACATTATAAAACAATGGTGCGACCTGTAAACTGAACTGACGCTACAGTCAGAATAGATAAATAAATGCGTCGACAGTCTTCAAGGAATATGTCCTTCGATTGAAAGATGTTAACCGTGTTGGGCAACACTCCTGTTGGATGACGAAAAGATATGGGCGTTTTCATAGCCTAAGGAGCATGGGAAACATTCCATCTGGATAAACTGGGTTGTAGCGGAGTACGGAACTTCTTGTAGCTGTCCGGTTTGCCGTTCTGACAAGGATCCGGGGGAACCTTCGGCAGCTCTGATCGAATCTCTTTGTTTCTCCTTCGATTAGGTGATAATTTAGTGTCAGACAGTAATTGTATGCCTTTACCTGTCCCCAGAAGACTGGGACTCTAACAGGTGGGATGCTAACAGGCAAGTCTAATTTGCCTTCTACAAGAACTTCCAGAAGGTTTCTTAGGGTTCTGTTATTCCATTTGATCAAATCACCGGCCTCAGGATGTCAGGATGTGTTGCGCGTTTTATCGATTCCACGTGATACTGTAACTGCTCTCTTATGGCCCGCTATTGAACCAAATAAATTCTCCAGTACCGTTTCACCACTCCGAGTTTCTGGTATGTACTTGTACCGTTTAATGTACCCATCCATTATATTTCCACGAGCTCTTCTCTTTTTGTACCATCGGCCCACGTTCACTCAGCGGTTGATTCAACTAAGCAGTGGCACTCGGTTCGGTCCGTAATCGGTGTTGATTGGCGTCACGTCGAATTCCGAATTTAAGAGAAGATCGCTCCGACGATTGGAAACACTTCAACGGTCAAAAAACACCTGTGCAGTACATTTTGTACTTGACTCAGCCAAAAAGTACACATGCTTCGGCTTCTTTTGAATAGCTTTCTTGTGCCCAAGTTACGGTCTCACCGTGGTAGATCTGTTGATGGCTTTAGAATACCATCTCCTCAAGTAATTTTACGGTAAAGACCATGGTGTGGAGGCTCGGAAATACTCCAGATAATCAGCAAAGGTGAATATGTGAACATTAGAGGCACTAACTTGTCAGGTTAAGTTTATGAGTTCTGTTGCCTATTTATCGAAGAACCCTCTGCTTTTGTAATGCACTACTCATTAGGTTGCTGAAAATTCGTCGACAGCAACCTTATGAGTAGTACATAACAATGATATACATGTATCGCGATATCTCGAATATCGTAGCAAATGAAACACGAGGCGTCCTGGTCAAGCACATTCAGTTGCCTAGAAACATCACAAACGTGTAATTCAGCTGGGTTCCAGGTGAGTCTCTAGCAAAACCAAATTAGTTTGCTAATGAGTGTATTTCGCTAACCCTCTGCATTCCTCTCGCATTTAGGAACATCGATTTTCACAAATCGAAAGATATGCGTTTTCGTTCAAGTTAGGGTAGGAAACGTGATACCTTCTGATGAACAAAATTTAGCGATTTTCTCACCTAGTTACTATGGAAAACCTCAGTAGTACTGATGCTCTGCTGTCCTTTGAACTGGGTGGTTTGTTTGCCGACGCTTCGTCAACAGCAACGTCGTCAGCTACTGTGTGCTCTGCCTTCATGGGTTTAAAATGGACATATCTAATTATAATCAACTGTGGCGTCCGATTGATTGTTAAGGTGAACATTCATTTAGTTTGGTCTATTGACTGGATTGACTGCTTGATATCTGAGTAACCTCGAGGTTTCCACTGTGCGTTCCCACGGCTGGCTCGTACAGACTTTTCAGTCCCTCTATAGTGTCAACGTAAAACGATTGTGGGCTCACCATTCAGAGTTATCCTCCACCCAATGTTGGTTATTCTTGTATTTACGGAGTGTACCATCTTTAAACGACCTGCTTGTTTCATATCTCAGTTATTTTTTAAACGCTACTCCGTTATTTACTCGCCGTGTCGATCTTTTCTGGAGGTAATCTCTATGTTTGAGTATCTTGGTAATACCGGGAATGTTAGACCCCTGAAAATAATTCTTAAATGCCCAAAACCTACTGGGACCTTTAAACCCCATCCCAGACCAGGCTGGAAGTCCATCAGTACATCAGCGCTCGATGACGGCGATTGTTCAGGCATACCACAGAGGAGTACGGTCGACGACGAAGTGTTTGGACATTTCACTGAAGCGCGGTCGATGGATGTTCACCCACAGTTGATCAGAGAGCCTGGCACAAGTCTGAGACTTACCCAATATCAAGAGAGTTCTGCGGCTTCCTCTGTATGAGGAAGGTTTTGTACGCGTAATTTTTTCATTCGCCCAGAAGTCGCGCTCATTCCACGAGGTAAGTACTGTTTGAACCAGACATCTAAGGCTGGCAATAGCAGAAGTTATATATACACGTAATCATGGGCACGCTGGCGTGAGGAGCCTGGGTTTGTGAATATACTGGCGTACGTCTCAACGTGTACAGCCGGTGAGTAAACACTGCAAAGTCTTGGACACTTATCGCCAACACGCGTGACATGCGGTTTTAAAAGTGATTATGCTACTAATTGCCTTTCCGGCCTAGTATGTAATACCGGCGAATTTTCTTCATGTCTTGCAACCCTCTCGTCTCTCGTTGCCTTGCACCTTATGCTAATCGTCTTCACCGTGTATGTTTCATTTGGAACTCCCTAACTCCCAGTGTTGTACATTCGCCGAGTTTAACCATTTTCAAGAACAATTTAGATGCATATCTTATTTCCAAACCGAATCTGGAACTGTTTAACTCCATGTGATACTCAATAGGCATTACGCATATTTTTGCGTCCCTTTGTATATATACGTCCGCCCTATGGTCGTTGTAAATTTAATTGCTTTTTAGACCACTAAACCTTGAATTACCTTGAATTGAACGTCTTCACCGTGTTTATGGTTCATCGCCGCGCCACACCACCCGTAAAACAGGTGATGGAAATAACTGCATCGACTTTCAACTACTGAACTTCTGACAGTAGTATAAAATCTATGAACAAAAGGACTCCTTTTCGAACTCAGTGGTGATTGAGGGCGACCAGTTTGCTGGTGTTTTGCTAGCTGTGTGAACAATGCCACGTAGCTAACAATCACATGGGGGTACGTTGATTCCTGACGTCTGATCTACCGAACGAAAAATGGATATTCACAAGCGATCGTGCGCAGAGATTTGCCGAAATTCATCAGTATGAATAACACAGTACGTTGTGCAGGAATGCTGCGGCCTTGACGCAAACAACTCATACGGGTTTTCATTATTGACTAATTTTCGAGCCCTAAGCACCCATAGTTCAGGAGAACTTCGTTCAAACTGGAAAACGTGATTAAATCTTGCTGTATTCAGTTTGATGGAAGTGACTGTGTGGTTCCGATTAAGTGACATTTCCTATCTTCAATTCTCAGACTACTTCTCGCATGTGTCGTTCATATAATGCGCCCTACGAGTGGTCGAGCACTGAATCTGGGAAATTTTGGTCACCTGAGGAACGGTAGATGTTTTTTTTCAACATCCACAGCACGTGGTACAATTCCTGCGACTCACATATGCTAGATTAGGGTCGTTCGCGCGATGTTCAGTCTTAAAAGGGCTTACTTCGACGCAGACGGTTGCTGTATGCAAGTAAAATTTCGCGAATAAATGCGCAGATCCACAGGTACACCGCAATAGGAAAGAATAAACCATTCCATATTTTTTATTATAGGAGATACGGTTCTTTTGTATACTTCCTCCAAATTCGCTATGAAAAGTCGATGGCCGATTTTTGCCATTAATTAATGATGTCTGCCTCCATTTTTCAATAGTATTAAGGAAGCGATTGTGCTCATCCATCATTTTTGGACGATTGCGAAACGTCTTAGATGGGGTTCGAGTCCGAACAGCCAGTTGACCAATCTACTAAATGGATAGTATGGTATAGTAACATCGTTCTTGTGGGGCGAGTGGGGGGTTAGGACCAGACAACTACCCGAAGTTTTCATGTAGAAATCGGAATATCAAAAGTTGCTTCTCAAGTCGTTACAGACTCACACTGTCAACTTAAACTACTGAACATCTATCCGTCAGTAGTGTGCTACTAACAGTCTTTATACAGGAAAACTGTTTTCCCAAGAGTTCTTCTCCCCTATTTACCCCTCGTACTAATACGACACTTTTTCGATGATGTCCCCAATGATGGCACTATGCGTACGAAAAAGCTGTTGCCGTTCGACAATCGGAGGTAAACAGAGTTTTTGAACTTTACTGGAGTTTTCACATAGCATTTGCAGCTTTGATGCACTCGTCATCTGGTGAGTTGCGGTATTCCATTTCCTCACACAGATTCTTCCTGACACTTCATATTCTTTGGTAGGTGAGGCAATTATGCAGGATTTAGGCTCCCATTTTTCATCGACTCGGTCCATTCTTAGGCCCAAAAGACGGTCTGAACTTGTTTCCGGGTCCACAACATGCTGAAAGTTATGCAGTTTATTTAGGTTTCCGTGTTTAACTTCAACAGTTCATTTATGTTCAATCACCTTCTTGAGCTGAGCACACTAGGTGCGGGTGGTAGGGTGGGTACAATTTTGGCCTAGCTTGTCCACGGTGCTGGCTTAGAATTCAGGTGGGAGTCTTCGGAATGACTTCAGGCATCCGTCTTTATAATCTATACGTTGCTTCATAAATGAAAAAGCGTGACCTTTAGAGAGACGGGTAGAAATGGAAACTCAAAGAGTGGTGGCTACATCGTTGTGCGCATTGTTGCCGCTTGTTGTAGGCAGATTTTCAGCTGGGTTCGTTGATCCATGTGTCTATTTATTCGTCCTCAACAATGCAAGTGGTTGTGATGAATCAGTAGGTCCTCCCAAGGTCATTTCTTGTTAACCTCCATAAAACTCTGCTCCGTGAACCTCGGATCTTTTTACCAAGGCTTAAAAAGCATATTAGTCAAATATTCGTTCGTTACTAAACGTAAAAGTGAGCCCCAACTTCACTCGTTATATGTTGAATCAGCCCTTCTGTAATGCACCGGCAACAGAGTCGAAGTTGGCGTCTCATCATCTCTTACCACTGATTGGTCGACAATACTTCAAGGACGGAGGGTGGTTTTGGCCAATCAAATTACAGGAACGAGAGAAGCCTTTCACTAGCACATTAGTTCAGAAATAAAAACGGAAAAGTGACGATTTCAAAAGAGATTGACTACTCTGGTCGAATAAAAGGTCAATAAATAAAAGATGCGAGGAATGTTGACAACTGTCACCCAGGTCACAAACTCATTTTGGAATTATATGTAGTTCTTGATGAAGAATGCGTAACCAGTAAGGGTCGGGTATGCTAAATTTCCAAAATATTATGCAAGGTAGATCCGTTTCAGAAAAGGTGCACAGGAAAATTTAAGGGGATTTTGTAAGTGAACAATGTACTTGTTTGAATTAGTTGTAACAATCAATTTGATGGACCAGAAATAAGTCCAACTGAGGTGATGACATCTTGCCTTTCATGCTGAAGTCACTTGTCAGGATAACGTGGCGACAGAGATGAGAAGTGCATCGGAAGAGTAAATTGATGCAAATAATAGCTTCCTCGACTGAGTTACTCAAAAGAAACGGGTAACGAGCACGATATGGAGAAACTGTTCGCCACATGTGTCATTTTAGGTCGATTCAGTAGGTGGAGGCTTCGTCTTGGTGAATCCCAAGCTCGTTTGGTTGAAAACAACGCTGCCCAGATTCCCATAACTCTCGATGATGATGTCACCACCGGTGAACTGAAAGGACAGCAAAAAAGTGTGAGAACGTTTCAAGTTCTAATCTGTCCGTTGGCAGCACTTCTGTTCTCTTTTACCCCCCTATCCATTGAAGATAATTGCTGTTGTTTAGAATCAACAAAAAGACATATGCCGTTTCTGAGAGGACAGTATCTTTCTTCAAAAGTCAGAGTCAGTAAAAGAAGCCGGTCCATAGATAGGTAGGGGTTAGTAATCTGTGACCTCTATTTGAGTGCAACACTATGTGAACTTTAATTGATTTTACCTGGGGAATCGCGTAGAAGTGGGGCTATTTTTACGACAACTGGTGCCACCAAAAAGGTGAGTCGTGACGATGAGCGATGGATCCGAAACAGTTTCTGTTTTAAACAACTCCTCCTGTAGGGTATTTCCCATGCAACAAGGAAATCTTATCTTTGAGGATTTTGTGATGCCAGTTTGAGATTCTTGAGGAAATTAACTTCGAAAATAGCTGGCATCGGGAATCACTCTCGGTGGATGCGAATGTACAGGGTGTCTCATAATAGACGCAAAAAATAATATTCATGTTCAAACTTTAACACTGATTTAAACGTTTTTTTACGTAACATACAAACATTACGGAGATTTACTGTGAATAAAACTAACATTACAAGAAATGTTGAAAAAACCGCCCTTTTTTTCGATAACAAGTTGGGGGCGGTCTGGGATGTGAGACACAGCATGTTCAACTTCTTCAAGCGTTACATGTGCACACTCCTCTTCAAGTATTGCTCTTAACTCCACCAAATTCTTCGGTTTATTTTCATGATATACGCTAGCCTTGATCATTCCCCAAGACCAATAATCCAGAGTTGTGAGATCGGGTGACCTTGCTGGTAAAAAGTTTGGAAATCCAAGAGCAATGACTATCTTATCAGAAAATTGCTCTCCGAGGTAAGTTCTCACTTGGTTTGAGTGGTGGGGCGGAGCACCATCTTGATGAATAACGATCGGTGACTCATCTTATGTTGAATGAGTTGCGGACAACATGCGTCTGCAGCATATGGAGGTTACTGTCACCGGAAATCGTAGCAGCAAAGAAAAAGGGACGCAGGAAACACTTTGAGGAGAATCCCATGCACACACGGAGATGAGGGGAACGGAGCTTCTGAGGAGCATTACGGGACCACATCACGCACTAGCGCTTGTTGATTATGCCATCCACAGAAAAAAAATTGCTTCATCGCTCCATAAAATGTTGGGAACGATTTCTTCATTTTCCAGCAGCCAGTTAGCAAACGTGACACGTTGCTTCTTGTATTCTTTCGTCATGTTTTGTAATAAAGTGAAATGATACGAGTAGAGATGAAAGTGGCGTCTCATAATACGATGCACGCTAGCGCTGGGAATGCCGGTCAACTGAGACACTTGAGTTATTGACGAAGATGCCATGGTGCTCTGGGATTGGAATTGCTCGCCGGCACTCTGTAGAATGGATGCTCTTTCATCACTCAGAGACTCTTCCTTTGCCAGGAAAATCTAATACAGATCCAGTGGATTCAAATTTCGCGATCAGGAGTGTGATGGTTGACACGGTGAAAGGATCTTTGATGAGACCATGTTTGGTTTTGTAACCACAAAGTGCACTGGTGGCGCCTTCACAATTTCAATGCACGTACTGACATTCATCGTAGACAAAAATGCGCAGAAAATCTCCTTTATGTTGCTAATGGAAATAAAAAATTTCGTTTTCCTTCTTTTAAATGACCACGTTTATTTACCCAATCAAATTTTGCGTTTATTATGAGACACACTGTATGTGATTCCAAGTTAGTTGCCTTACTGAGTGACATCCAAAACCGCAGGTCACAATTCTTTGGCATTTTTTAAAAGTTTAACTCAGTTTCCTTGGGCTTAATTCAATTTGTGGCCAGCAGTACAACTTTGGGACACTGCTGTTTATCGAAAACCCCACCATGAGAGAGTCTTGACAACTAAAATAATGACCAAAAAGGAAAATTCAAAAACAAATCTCACAGCGACGCTCATTCCCGCGCACGCCTCCTTCAGAGCAGACAGGAAATTGTTCACATCGTACACTGCCACCGGATTCGAAGCGTTCTCATATCCGGCGCCAGGCACATCGCACTGCCGAGGTGGCAGCTGATCCCGTTTAGAAAAGGCCGGATGGTGGGTGAGTGTGGCGTAGGGCAGGCTGCGACACAGTGGATTCCATTTCTGAGTAATTTTCACCTCGCCATCACTGCCCCATTTAAGCTGAACACCCGGTGAACTTCGGATTCTGAGTGGATGGACATAGGTTTAGAAAAGAACAATTAGCTGATAAAAGTGGGAAACAAAGTGCGCACAGTGTAGAGCAAGATGGACTGATTGCAAACAAACACGTAAGTTATGAGGCACCATCCCGATTTTGGCAGACTTTTAGTCCGAATAATCTTACTGGTTGTCGTTTCGACCCACAAAAATCATCTCTAAGCTGAGATGATAGGTAGTGAAATTCACATCTGCGATAGACGCTACGTTTCACACACAGCAATACATTACTACTGTTGCTGTTCAACCATTTATCGATTGATTAGTAACAGTTATTTGGCTAACGAGTCATGCACGATTAACAGGCCTTACCAAAACAAAGGTTGGAGCCGCGAATTTTATTCCATACTGGTGTAACGGTGGATATTACTGATGAGGCACTTGAGTAGCCTGTGGGTTTATCGAAGCTCCACCCTGTATCTAGTGGAAGGTCAGGTTTACTACGGGAGTTGTGTAACTTCTTTACAACGTTCGTTTGCTATTGCGTGATAGTCAATGAATATCAATGAAAGTTATGAAATTATATGCATATGAGACTTTTACTTTATTGTCTTTTAGTTTGTAACTGCTTACTTGATGTTCGCTAATGAACGAATTTGCCACCAAGGGTCTTTCTTGTAGCCCAAGGAGGAGAGATTAAACCTAAGAACATCATAAGCGAGAGATTCGGCTGAGTTCTAGGTGATTCTCCTGTCAAAACCAAATTGATGTGCAGATGAGTATACAGGGCGAAAGTTAATTACTTTCCCCCCCGGGGCTTCCATCAAAACATGCAGTGTTATCGACAGCACAGCTAAAGTTCGATCGATACGGTACTCGTTCACACAAGGCCAGATGAATGTTAGTCATCGGGTTAATCTCACTACAGTCCTTAGAGCTTCTCTTTAATGGTCTACTCACAAGATGTCAGCAGTATTCAGACATTGTGAGTGACGAACACAGTAATTCCTCTAATCTTATTGTCCATCAGTGCAGTATGTTAGTTCTAAGTGAGAAAACAGGAGTTCCTTATCAGTAGAAAGGACTCAACCGATAATTCTTTTGCATATTCAATCGCGTGGATTGTCGATTTGGTCCAAACGATCCTCGTGCTCCAAAATTTCTTGAAGACCCAACCGAAGGACTAGTTATACGAAACTCTGAACTGGGTCAGCAAATGGTTAAATGAAAATATGAGATCATTTGAGGCAAATAGTCGGCAGAAGTTTGGGGTCTTAAAAGCGAAAAATCACAGACGTGGTGTCGCGGAATTTTACCGGATTACTCATAAGCCGGACTTCTATGTTTTCATTCAAAGCCATGTAACAATTTTCGGAGGTCTCGTGATGAAGTCACGTGCACTAGGCTTGTAGATTTATGAAAAATACCCATCCAACGAAAGTCTAAACGAAGGGTATTCGAATGCTGCGAATACGATACTCATTTCTAGTGAGAAACATAGTCTGGGAACTAATTTTAGCCATTCGTTTTCTGCATCTTAGGGAATCTGAGTGGAAAAGCCGACCAGAAGCGAACAGGAAATTGGTTTACGCCCAGGATAGTCCAGCAAATATCGTAAGTTAGATAAGTTAACTTGACTTCACTTTACTTATCATATGAAATAGAGTACTGGTCGCCCAAAACGAGTCACTGCACGGGAAATGGTCGAAAATATTATTTCACGCAGCTCTCGACTTCCTCTGTCTAGGCTTAGGCAAACTGGCGGTATCCCAGCCCTCGTGCTTCCTTCGGGTGGCATGGTAGCTAAGCACCGAAAGAGTGTAACAGATGCACGATTTTTTACCCCTTAGGGCACGAACTTGTGATGTATTTCTCCACAGAACTGACCGATTGCCCTTGAACTAAAGAGAATTGCTCGGGTTGTCTAAACAGGAAGGAACAACCAACATATTTTTGATGCACTACTCATAAGGTTGCTGAAGCTTTGCCGATAGCCTGCAGCAAACTTATGGGTAGTGCATTACAAATATACATGTGTCGCGATATCTCGAATATCGTAGCGACTGAAACATGAGGCGGCCTGGTGCAGCATATTCAGTAGCGTAGAAACATCACAAACGAGAGATTCAACTGGGTTCCAAGTGAGTCTCTCGAAAAACCAAATTAGTTTGCAAATGGGTGTATTTCGCTAACAGCCAACATATTTTGAGTGAAAAGGTCTTCAGCCGTTGCCAGCTATGTCGTATAGGTGAGATCGGAATTGGCACTATAAAGAGACGTGAGTCCATCTCACTACTGATCAGCTGTCAGTAGAAGAAAGTTTAAGTGATCAAACTATTAGCATGCAGTTTACGGGTTCAAGGCTCTCCACCGGAATTTCGTGAAATGCGCATTGATGGTGATTCTTAGTGAAGATAAAACAGCTGTACAGCATAGATTGGTTTCTCTGACAGGATGGAACATCAACGATTCCAATGATGTCAAATAACTTCATTCCCTGGGGGTTTCTGTCACTCGGAGCGATTGTTTTGTTCAAACAAGACAAAATCTAATGACACGAAATGATTCAAGAACGCTTATATTACCATCCAATCGCTTCTCCGTGGCAGAACCACACCATGATCAAGATGCTTCATCTGGTTTGATGCAAGCTGAGCTTCACACTGAAAACCCTTCGACATCCCGCGACCGTTTCGCCCTTCGTACTGTCCATCTCCTAGGCACAGTTTCCATCATACCGAAGCCCTACTTGAAGACCCTACTTGTGAAGAGTTAGTGAAATGCACTTAGTTCCGGATTGATAACAGACTCAACCGAGTCCACACTGAATTAACGGGCTGTGACATTCTCTGTTTGGGATTTAGTTCAGTGTCCAGTTAAAGCCAGCATAATCCGCTAATGAGTAAACTTCAATATTAGGAGAACCAGCTCCGAACGTAACGGGACGGCATAACAGCCAATGGAATAACCGTTTTCGTTGAGACAGATTTCATTGGTTGTTCTCCACTCGCCCTTGACAGCTGAGTTGTATTCTTAGTATCACTTTTTTTGACCCACTTGTACACAACAGTGATCAATAGATCAGCCAGTTCGCACATTCATTGACTTTTTCTGGTTTGGTCAAGCGCACCAAGCGACCAGGCGGCTATACAGTCCGGGGATCACGGTAATACGAAGGCATTAAGGAGACTGTGGTCCACAACATTCAGCCCTATGGATAAGAGTACGAAAGTATGTTTTGGAAAGCCATACGATGGGCATCTGGCATGGCCTACTACTTTCAGTCTGCCAGGAATTTGCTTCGCCTATTCTGATTCCTCTACCAGAGTGTTATTTCTTGGTGCACGACCAAGAAAGAGTGTACACCCATTGTTTTTGCCTGATCAATAATCCATGCATGCGTAATGAACTAAATGCGTCTTGTGTTACTTTAATGAGACACAACTTTCCTTCCCAGGGCATTCTTTGGAAGTCGGTTGCCCTGCGAACCGTCCCGAAATGGACGATTCCGGAATCTGTTGAACTTGAAGCAGCTTCACTGAGGGATGATATCTCCAACACCACAGTTGCACCGAATAAAAAATGGCATTTTTACCAACAGATCATGGTTACCACAGCGTTGCAACTATCGAGGTATATTGTGAAACCCTCGAGCTAAATGTCTTCGTACACACCTTCCAGATCGTACGCGACCGAAATGTTCCCGGCGACTAAGCCAAAATTTCAAACGGCACGGTCACTACGAGGTTACTATTGTTGGAAACGAAACTCACGGCATCAACGATTTGGACGGGAAAACAAGCGGTCCCGTGACCACACTGGTCAGCTGACCCAGGCCAATGCGACGGCTGTCTTTCACGTGACATTGTAGAAAATCGTATCGTAGGATGTAGAAATTCCTTTCAGTTAGAATGACCAATCTCTCGTGTTCATTGTTCCAATGGTCGATTCTATGACACGAGAGAGAGAAACAAAAAACAAAATGAACTAAGCAGAGCAAAGAATTTTGACATCGGATAATTTATGAAGTAAAATTCACCTTTCACGTCTTTGTTGATAAAACAATATGCGTATAAAAACTCTGCACGCTGAAAGGCGACAAATTTGGGGAAGGCTTTGCGTGGATTCGAATCACGGTTCTTAAAAAGGAAGGTCCACCATATTAACCAATGGACGGCACTATTATCTGCATAGTGGGGTCATGAACTCCAAGAAGGAAATAATAGCCCAATTGTGCACTCCCTTGAGTGACTTTGAACTATTTTCCGACCTTACTTTACTCTTGCCCGCACTTTCTGGTTCAATACAGGCCCATCGTTTCCTGCCTCCAATCTCTTTCTGTGTTCCTCAACCGCTGTATGCCATGTGATTGCACCAAAGTCTGTTTCCATATCTATGCACTTCAGAATCGTTGCGCGTCGCCATCACGTCCCCATGAGCATCGAGTGCTGCTGTCTTCCTGACCACTCACATTACGGTATGACTCACATCATTCAAAATGCACACGTTTACCGAGAATAGTTGTGGATAGAAAGTCCCTTTTCGAAATTTAGACTCATACGTATTATTCGTGCACGCTTAGGATGAACCTGTCTTTATGTTCACAGTTGGGCTTATGAATATACATCATCATTCAACAGGCAGCTAGAAACAATCAGTACAAGTAACCAGGTAGTTCCCAGTTCCCTTTCAAGGTCGCAACATTCATAACCCTAGGAGTTGAGCGGAGAAGAAACAGTTGATTCTATGCTTCTCCTATAATCAATTCAGATTTTGCAGAAATGCTTTTCGACAAGGCTCCAAATTTGGTGCTCATAGTGCAAGCCGGCTATGGATAAAAGATGTTCATTCTGCCGAGTTTGACTGAATCCGAAGCACCACAAAATATACAATGGTTTTTCCGATGAGCTGACAAACTGAAATGACTGGCAAAAAAGCGTCTTTTTGACGGGTGGACTGAACCTAGTTGAATCCAACCTATTGTACACGACCAGCGAACAGCGCGCATCAGACGATGAAGCCTACTTGAAAAGCTGCTGAAGTTATGGACGCGGATCGACACAAACCGGTCTGACTATACGGTGTAACCTTGAGGTGCGTGCGTACGACTTCATCGTGATTGGTTGAATCTATGTAGATAGGATTTGCTCCAACGGGCGACCATTTGACTCTCCAGTCAAGACCAAGTTCGAATGAGAGTGTGGGTTTTGACATGCGAGTTTCACAACAGGTCTTGCCAATTCTACGCTTCAAACCTACAAAATTCATCAGTTAACTCAAAGAAAAACCTTTCAGTATCCACAAAACGGATGAATGAACAAAGCACTTACTGTGTCAAGATCCACAAAGCCACAAAAGCCCCGTCCTCTGGAATAAGAACTGATTCTCCGATATTGTGTACCAACTGTTGCATATCCTCCTAGAAAAGATACAGATGAGAAATCGATGACATTGTCTCAAGAGAGGAACAGTAATTGTCTTCAATATGACGTTTGTCACTGGGTTGACAGAAGCTACAAGAAGCTCGAATTCAGATTTGTTTGCATCAGAGTTTAGAGTGAGGTCCGAAAAATGATAGGGGAGTGTACACTCATTTGCAAACTAATTTGGTTTTTTCAAGACTCACCTGGAACCCAGTTGAATCTCTCGTTTATGATGTTCTCAGGCAACTGAATGTGCTGCACCAGGTCGCCTCATATTTCAGTCGCTACGATATCGCGATACATGTATATCTTTGTAATGTACTACTCATAAGGTCTCAAGTAGAACATAATGTTGACGGAAACCCGAGGACTGCGCCTACCTGATGAGCCCCAAAAGGGGCGAAACCGGTCATGGGCTGTCGACGGATTTTCAGCAACCTTATGAGTGGTACATTACAAAGATATAAATGATAGGGGAGCTTTAGGAAGTGCCAGTTAAGTCCTTGAATAACGCACCAAATGAATATTTAGTCACCGATTCAATTGTGAAATTTAATTAAGCCTGAAGTACCATCATGCCATGGTGAAGTTACACCTGCTGGTCGTGTTTTTGAAAAGGCGAGACAAACACTGAAGTTACATCATCAACAATACTGGTTTTACGAGCTGGTGAGCTTTGAAATTCACGTTAATCAACTTTTTATATCAAGTATCAAGCAGGCAATGAACAGTGAAATGTAGGTTGGAGATAGCCAGCCAGGTGGCCCAATCTTGTGCAGATCCATGATATGCAAAAATGAGTGCTTCTGAGCAAAGAAGAAATAAATGGACCAAGAATTTAGTAGCTCAGGTACATCTATGGCACTCAGACCTGTCGAGCACCCAAGAAATCTGGGGAATACCGGATGCTTGTAATGTAGACTTTTCAGGATAACCTAACAAGGCCCATCGAAACGGCTTTGGAATGTCTTACTTGGTTACTTCAAGCCCCTGTGAAGCAGGTGTCTACTAGTGCTAAATTTTGGAGGTACACATTTGAACTGCAAAGTTTAAAGGCTGTTGGAGAAGACAAAATGCTTGCTGAGGTATTCAAAGGGAGCGATCCGGTTTTGCACAATTGGAGTGTTCACTTATGCTACAATCATACAGCAAGCAACATCACAGAGAATGGAAACCATCAAGGAAGCATTCTTCTGTGCATTTCAACTGATCTTATGCTCCAACGCTTGTGGTCTGGAAGAAGACTTCCATGAAAAACCATGTGATTTCGAAGCGGACGCAGTATGGTTGATCTCGTTCTTGTATGGTGGTATATGGCTATCGAAATTTCATTCCTTATAAGGACACTGTATATGAACGCCGGTAAATGCGTACTGGAATACTGCAAGCTGTCGCCTGGGTTCACGGCATAAACTGGATCAAGAAACGCTCTCCTCTCCAACCATTCCCCTTTGACTTTCTTACTGACATGCCGATTGAAACTTTTGCGCCTGCGCCTGAAACTTCGGGAATTGGAATATTCTCGAGGCTTTCACTCAAAGGTACTGAGTATGCGGACGATATTGCTCTGCTTCAGTAAATGCAAAAATAAATAATTCTGAGCTTCAGACCTTCAAAGTGTAAAGTGCTACTACAAGACTTGGTGAGATCAAACTAAGACCTCATGTTTTCAGTCGAAGAGGTAGGTAAATTTGTTTACCTGAGCAGTTGTATAGGTTCTTGTGGACGGGCTGGAGTCCGAATCATTTATTGAATCAGGAAAGCCACAAAAGCGTTTACCAACCTCTGACATCCATAGCGCTGATGTGACGTTATTTTGCCTGTAAATGCAGAGTATACATGGCAGCAGTGCGATCCATACTGGGTCATAAACGTGACCTCTACGCGCAGCGGACGTACGGAAGCTGTCAGTGTTTGACCATTGGTATCTCCGAAGCATCGGTCGCGTCTTGTGGGAACGCCACATGATTTTAGGAAGAAGGAACTCTCCCGCGATAGATCAATTACCCACGCTTCATAGGATACGCTGGTTAGGACATGTACTCCGCATAGCAGAAGACCATCTGCCTCGCAAAGCTCTTTCCGCCCAGCCCCGTGATGAGCGGAAGCAACAGAGAGGTGAACAGTCAATGAAGTATGAAAACACTAACCAGTAAACTGAATTGGGTTGACAACTGCCGCCGCCTTGGATGGGCACCCTGGTCTCCAGTAGTTAATGGCACTGGCAAGCATGGCTTAACCAGTGGCAATCCGTGACCCTCCTCCATCATACCTCCAATGTGTAGCCGCCAAACTTTCTGTTCCCTCAGGAATACGTACTATACAAAACTAACTAAACAGGTTATCGCCACTACTGCTTGGCTTTATGTCCCAATCTCTCCCATTTTCCACTGACCAGAAGTACAGCAGCTAGAGGCTACTTACCATTGGTACACGGTCTATGGGTGCAGGCCTTTAGCTGCAAAAACAACGTTAAAAACGGAGCCAAAAGGTTAACTCTCTGCTTAGGACTTCGTGAAATTTTGATTCAATGAACAAGGAATTATTGTAGGTAGTTCTTCAAATATTGTTTCTCGGAAAAACTGCTAACATCATCAGATCCCTACAATTCTCCCCGAGCGTTTACCATGTCCGGTGTCATGTTCATTCTACATCGGCATACGGTCTTTGTGAAGGCATTTTATGATTTCAAACAGCTTTGAAGATCCAATTCCGTTCAGACGGCCGCATATTTCACTTGAAACGCTTCAGGGCCTCAAGGAAGCTGCGCGAGTCAAAGATCCATATGCGATCTGCCCGCGTCCCATCCCCGTCGCCAATTTGTTGTGGACCACATTTCATTAACGGCTTCTTATTACCGTGAACTCCGGTCTGAATAGCCGCTTGATCGCTTGGTGCGCTTGACTAAATCAGAAAAGTCAATGAACGTGCGAGCCAGCTGCCCTGTTAATCACTGTCGTGTAAAAGCGGTCAAAAGTGATACTAAGAATAGAATTCATTTGTCAAGGGCGAGTGAAGAACAACCAATGAAATCTGTCTGAACGAAATCGGTTATTCCATTGGCAGTTATGTAGTCCCGTTACGTTCGGAGCTGGTTCTCCTAGTATCTTCCAGGAGAGGTTTTTGAGATAACGATATCCCCAAAAACCACTTAATTGTGGAATCACTGCCAAATTATCTTCCGAAAATCTGAATTTTAGTTTATTGTGCCATTGAACATATTTCCTAAAAATCGCCTTTCTCTCCCATGGAAGAGTTGCACTTTATATGTATTACCGCCTTTATGGTTCTCTATATTTGCGGAGGCTCGCGACTCACTCACTAAGCACAGCAGCATAATGCGTTCATCCTGTATGGCACTGTATGAACCCACAGAGAAGTGTATAATTTACAGACTTGTGAACAATCCTCATTGGTTGCATGATACAGCATTCCCTTCTCCAGACGAGTACAACAGTCCCCGTTTCTGACTGAATCAAGCTGCGGGAACAACTCGAAGGAAATATATATCCAAGATCATAATTCAGCCGGGCTGTTTCCCATGCCACGTACTCGTTCGGGGAGCAAATTAACACTGGGTCACGTGACATGAACTACCGAATTTGACCATAATAAGGTATCTGTCAAGGAGTTCTCTAGTTTTCGACTACTACCAGCAAGGAAGCTTCTCAGAAATTCACGCGCAACATGAATCCTCAATCGGACTGATTTTCATCAAGGATTACATTGAGGCGATGACAGTGCGCTACATATGTAGTTCGTCTATTCGCAGTTTTATCGGAAGACATGTTTCTCCAAGAGTTTTGCGCACCGCCAAGAAACTCTTCTACAGGCAATGGTTTACCCTCGACCACTGTTCCAAATACTTGCTCATTTCACTCAGTTATACCATCACAAATGATCCCTAAATAAAGACGTTCACCCTGTAGATCCGCCTGTTTTCAGTGGCACAGGTTTTGGACACGGTTCACGTGCGTGAGAAGGAGGTTAATCATTCAGATTAATCAATGGAATCTAGGATCAGCAGCAGGTTGCAACCAGATATCACGTGATGTTTTGCCTGTTGCGCCGCGTTAAGGCGAAATTCCCTAATTGACTACCTCTGTAAATGGTGGGCAGATGGGTGGTGTGAAGAAATCAGTGAAAGATAGGAGTGAGAGAGGGGTAGCTGGTGCTGATGTGGGTCTTCAGTAAATGACCCAATATAAATGATAATTTTAGACTGTAAGTACTGAACAAAACTGCCCAATAGTATCGCTTGACCGGTATTCGAGGTATCAAATTATTCACCCTTGGTGAGATACTACTCAAATGTTAATAGTAGTACCGTAACATAGCTGGTGCTACTAGAGGATGCTAGTAAATGATCTCAGCGGAATTCACTGGGCATAGAAAAAAAATTGGTCAGTGTAGGGGTTGAGCCGGCGTGATATGGGGGACTCTTATCACACGTCCGTCGTGTGCTAGTCATTTAGACATTGACGAGAACATGCTGTTCACTACTAGCAATCGGCTGGTTCTATTGAAGCTACTCAAAGTGAAACAAAACTCAGTGGCCATCCACGTTGGTTGGGAACCAATGAAATATTACGACTGGATGTAACCTGACGCCTGACAAACGGCACTGGGTACCAAGCAAACAACATATGTTGGAATTTAACTCGGAAAAGACGAGTGAACTATCCCAGGGTTTGCATGTAGATAGGACCAGAGTATGGGATTATCCAAAGTTGTCATGTCAATAAAGGAGAGGAGTTTCCAAACACCAAATACGTTTGATTCTAGTACGAGATGAATTCAAGAGTACAGTCAACCCTTGCTGAAATGTCGAGAAGCACTGCACTGCAGTTTCATCGCTGCCACAGCTAACCAGCTCCGAGACGCTCAGTAGTCTCCAGGGCGAGTCGAACTCCCGGCTAACGGCTGAATGTTGGTCATTATTGGCTAATCAGAAACTCAGATAAATTCGAAATTAAACCAGTCTAGTGCCACTTCG